CCCCCCCCCCCCCCCCCCCTACAGACATTAGTACTTACTTTCCACTTCTTATTCAAGTATTTTTAAAAAATATTTGTACTGTTTATTCAAGTAGCTTTCCTCTCCCCTACCCCAATACTTTTTACTTTTACTCAAGTACAAAATCAAAGTAATGTAGTCACCACTGGTTATGTGTTCAACATATAAAAAATTAATAAATATTTTACCTTTGACTTCGTGTACTGTCATTCTTAATTCTTTATCACTACTGCTTAGATCAGCAAATTTAGCAATTGCAGCCTCACTCCATTCGTGAGCCAAGAAAATATTCATCTATTGAAAAGTACTATATCGTTTGGAAATTAGCCATGTAGGGTATTAGGCCATATTTTCCCTTCCTTAAGTGCGGGTGGATTGAAAGGAAGACATGGCCGAACCACAGAATAGGAAGGTATACCAGAAGTCTCAAGCAAGTATTTGTTCGCGTTTTTACAGGCGATTCGTCATCAATCACGCCATCCTAGCTAGTACAACCGACACTTTGTACCTATCAAAACCTGCTAAAAACTTCCGGCTGTACTAGCCAGGATGGCGTGAGCGAGTTAACGTTTTCGTGGACGTAAAACAACAAAGGCACCGACTAAAGTTACACTTCTGCTATACTTTCCTATTTTGTGGCCTGACAGAGTCTTTCTGCGTGTAAAAAGGCCAAAACCCGGCTTTTCACCTGATTGGTTTATCGGACAAAAATATTTTACTCTAGATCTGTCTTTTTGATTGGTTGATACTAATTAGATTGTACTTTTAATTTATGATATATTTCGTACTTTTAACTATAATTAGATTGTTGTTGATATTGTGTGAAATTGGCATTTCACCCGGGACTACCAACTATACTGTCCTCAGTAAAAAGCACCTACAGAAACCACTATGCCAGCAATACCCCCAGGTAATTCATCAAGTAGCCCAATTCCCTCTTTCTGTCTATAACTACTTAATAATATAAAAATTAAACCCACCTGATCTGCAGGCTGCACGCCATGAAGGCAACACTCGTATGCCTGTATAGGCTGTGTACGGAATTCACTGATGAGAACACGGAGTCTGTCAACTGGTATAACTTCTTTATTACCAAAGTCTACGTACTGAACTTTGATATGCTTGCTGTCGACCACTTCAAGGACACGGGCGCGGTAGAAACTACCATCCTCAGTATATTTAGCGCAAAATATCTGTCCTGGTGACACTGATGGGAAGGCTCCAAGGTTATAACGACTTGACTGACAAGAGAGAAAATGTTATATTGCACAATTATCCCTTATGACACATAATAGGAGATGAAAGAAAACTGGTCATTATAGAAAAAAGAGATCAGCAGATTTGGGGCACTAAACATTGCAAAGATGGTAAATAAACTAAGGATGAGATAGTATATAGGCACATAAAATAAGAGATAATGGCAACATCATAGAATGAAGGGGTCAGAAGATCGGGGTGGTAGACATTTCACTATTTCAGAGATGGTGAGCGAAGAAAGGCCGAGATGGTATGGGTATGTACAAGTAATAAGAATAGTTGAAGAACAGCTAGTCAGAGCCGACATTGTGGATTGACCAGTAAGCGAGGGAAGAAAGGTTGAGATGGAATGGACACAAAATAAGAAATGAAGAGCTGGTCAAAGACATTACAGTATGACATGAAGAGATCAGAAAAATATGTGGGAAAGTAGACATTGCAGAGATGGTAAGAATAGAAAGTGTTACGTGATGTTTCCACAAACAAAACTATTATATGTTTTATCGCCATGCAAACATACAAAGAACTTATTAAGAATAGAAAGGTTCAGATAGTATTATTTTTATTTATTTTATTTTACAAGTTTGCCATTGCAATAGATCTATATAGAGTACTATGGTTACAAATTACTGGAATTTCCACACAGAGATAGTTCTCCAATAACGGGGTTCCAAAAAAGAACAACTTATCTAATTATTTTAAAATTAAAGCAAACATAACAATTAAACACAAATACAAGAAGACAAAGCAAACGTATTGACGAACAAACGAACAAACACTAAATTTAGCAACATTTTCGAGTTGATAAGTTTATTAGTGGACGAGTGGTGTGACATTTAATACAAACAGACTTGAATGTTCTTGGATCTTCAGGATCATAAATTTGATGGATTAATTCAACGTAATATTTCATTAGATTGCATTTAAATATAGTTAGAGATGTGGTGGTATTTCTTATCCGGGAAGGGTGTTCCACACATTAGCAACTCTGATATAAAGCTGTTTTGAAAAGAAACAGTTTTACTTTTGTTACATGAAGTAGGATGCCGTTGGTTGAACTAGTATTCCTTGTTTCTCGTGATAGGGATCTTTATAGATGATATCGATATGTTACTGTCAGAGTTATTTATAAGGCATTTGTGAAGATACACCATATCTAAATACTCATGCCAGTAACATAGAGGGAGGATTCTGATGGTAGCCAATCGTTTCTTATACGAGATAGCAGGCACGTAGCCAAGGAGCAGGGTTGGAAAAACCCTTACCTTCCATTAATGTTGAGGAGTTTGGTGAAAGTGATTACGATGACCTTTACCGAAACCTTCGCAGAATCATTTGTATTGCGTCCATAATTCCAATTGCAATAGCTTTATGCGAAAGATGCCACAGCAAAGTAGTAAAATTATCAACAATTACATAAGAGCAACCATGGGTGAAGATCGATTTGAGAGCTTGGTTCTTGCATGGATAATAAAATAAATGGATAGGACTCTAGCTGACGTAAGCAAAAACAACTAGTTGCAATCTGTGACGTCACGCGTATTGCAAAGTTCTCGGCATTTTTGTTGTTTCGCTATACTTTCCGCTTTAAAAGAGTAATATTGAAGCATATACTGGTCTAATTGTTTTAAAAACATGCCTAAGCCACGACAAAGTATTCAAGGTAAATGTTTTTCGTCTTTGTTTTGTATTTTTTTACATTTGTAGCTACGAAATTGGCGTCCCCAATTTTAACGAAATTTGGGATGCCTTTTTTACTGTTTAGTGCTTGAAATATTTGCTAAAATTGACTGGGAATACTTAAAGATTTCATCGTAGAATGGCGTAGTTATATTCATTTGCTCTTTGACTAAAATGTTTAGCTGTATTATTGCTAAACATGCTGTTTTTGAGAATTTGGTTTTCAACTAGGTTTCAACATCCAATAACGCCATCATGCAGCCCATTAAAAACATTAGGTCACGTCAGCTAGTTTGACGTTGTTCTCTTGACAAAACCTAGCATTTTGTTAGCTTTTGAGGACGTGCTGGTTCCACTTCAGATCTTGCACGTGCTGGTTCCACTTCAGATCTTTGGTGATACTTACGCCAAGATCTTTTACACAGATAAAAGGTTTGACAAGGATGACAACTAATGTGTACTGGTTGGTTGATAGTAGGTTGGAGATAACGAGTAAATTAAAGTACTCCGCATTTGGAATTATTTAAATCCATCCTCCAGGCTCCAGTCTTTACACCAATTGGTAGTATTGCTAAGATCTGATTTTAGGCCGGATTTCTCTGTCTTGATCATGAAGATTACGAACAGCGCGATGACATTTAGTATCATCAGATGAACATTGACACGGTATTGATATGCATAAGTAGAGATCAAAGATGGCCAGTGAAAACATCATGGAATGAAGAAATCAAACAATGTATGTAGACATTCCAGAGAAGGTGAAATAAGTAAGGATGAGATAGTAGGACATAAATAAGAAATAAAAGAGAGCTGGTCAGAGACATTATGGAATGAAAAGATCAGAACAATGGTCGGTCAGATTCATTGGGGAATAAAGAAATGGCTTTCTCTCAAACTTCTCAAATGAAGCTGTCCGGTATTTCAAATCAACGATACGGTGCGGATTTTCTTTGTGGTTTGCTTGTTAATCAGTTTGAGGAATAAATAAATTACCAGACATTTACCTTGTAATGACTCAGTATTTCCTCACTCAACATTTCCGATATTGCATCTGCACGACTCACGTAGAAATAACTCGGATTTTCCGTATGAGATATGTAGACAACAATTGATTTTCTGAAAAATTGAAGTAACTTGCTGACAAACTTATGGCATATCAGTCAAGCTAATATTACCCAAAAGTGCTGATGATCTCAAATGAAACTCAATAAAAAAAGCAAAAGAGCATACCCAACATCTGGAAGGAAGTATGGCAGAGCAAAGTCTGGATTTACATTCACTTGAGTCTGATGTCGTTGGTTTGTCTTGGTTGGAGGAGGCTGTAAGATAATTAAAACACATACTTGTAACACTGAGGGTTATTTTACACTTGTAATAAATTAATTGTTTGGACAAACTTGCCTGAATAATTATAATGTAATTAAACTATGTACTTTACAAACAATTTTAAGGGTTGGTGAGTTATGCGTATTTGCGAGGGGTCCAAGGGACAAGTTCATCTGATACCTAAAGCCCTAAGCTAAACTAAATCAACTTTATTTATGCTGGATAACTCCAGTGCTAAATTAACTGTTCTCCCTATAGAAAAAAGGTTAAAAAGCCCGAAACTACTGTTAACGACAACTATATTTATTACATAGATCTATCAGTTCTAAATTGTTCTCTTTAGAAGTCTGGTAAGGGACATCTCTTATTGGTCCAGTGTCAGTACAGTACAAGAGGAAAGCTAAACTAAATCAACTTTATTTATGCTGGATAACTCCATCGGTGCTAAATTAACAGTTCTCCCTAGAGATCCAGATAAACCATTTCCCCTACTGCTACAAGAGAAAACCCAAACTCGAATATCCATTGAAAATCTGTGCCTTCTGTGATGTTTGGTAGAGCCAAATTGAAAGTACTCTTCTCACATACGACTGAAGTGAAATCATCGAGCGCCGCCCATTGAACTATAAATAAACTGGAAGGCTAACTCAGGGGGGGGGGGGATTGAGGCCAGTGCATTTTAGTTTTTCTGAGTTATGAGCAGAAATACTCGACACTGAACGTTGGGCTATATATCAAATTGAAGCTATTGAAAAACGCTATTTGGTGTGGAAATTTCAAGACTTTAGGAAATTTCAATATTTCAAGAAATATTGAAAAACTACAAACAAAATTACCGATAATTTGCCATTTTGCAGTTGTTTTTGTATCTTTTAAATAGTTTTCTTTTCGCTGAAGTCTTGAAATTTCCACACCGAATAGCAATTTTCAATAGCTTCAATTTGATATATGGCCCAACGTTTGGGGTCAACTATTTCTGCTCATAACTAAGAAAAACTATTTTGGCTTCATCAAATCATAGGCCTTCATCATAGCAGTTAGCCTTCCAGTTTATTTATAGTTCAATGGCGCCGCCCCGGAGTCGCAGGACCATGCGCAGGTTCAATCCCTGCCACTTGGCACATAGTAGGATTGGAGAAGCCCCCCCCCCCACAGGCTACAGACAATAGTACTTTTACTTTTTTACTTCAAGTATGTTTTAAGGACACTTTGTACTTTTTACTTAAGTATGTTTTGCCTCCAGTACTTTTTTACTGTTAGTCAAGTAGTTTTATTGTTAATTACTTCAGTTTTACTTTTACTCGAGTACAAATCCCCACACGCTACAGACAATAGTACTTTTACTTTTTTACTTCAAGTATGTTTTAAGGACACTTTGTACTTTTTACTTAAGTATGTTTTGCCTCCAGTACTTTTTTACTGTTAGTCAAGTAGTTTTATTGTTAATTACTTCAGTTTTACTTTTACTCGAGTACAAATCCCCACACGCTACAGACAATAGTACTTTTACTTTTTTACTTCAAGTATGTTTTAAGGACACTTTGTACTTTTTACTTAAGTATGTTTTGCCTCCAGTACTTTTTTACTGTTAGTCAAGTAGTTTTATTGTTAATTACTTCAGTTTTACTTTTACTCGAGTACAAATCCCCACACGCTACAGACAATAGTACTTTTACTTTTTTACTTCAAGTATGTTTTAAGGACACTTTGTACTTTTTACTTAAGTATGTTTTGCCTCCAGTACTTTTTTACTGTTAGTCAAGTAGTTTTATTGTTAATTACTTCAGTTTTACTTTTACTCGAGTACAAATCCCCACACGCTACAGACAATAGTACTTTTACTTTTTTACTTCAAGTATGTTTTAAGGACACTTTGTACTTTTTACTTAAGTATGTTTTGCCTCCAGTACTTTTTTACTGTTAGTCAAGTAGTTTTATTGTTAATTACTTCAGTTTTACTTTTACTCGAGTACAAATCCCCACACGCTACAGACAATAGTACTTTTACTTTTTTACTTCAAGTATGTTTTAAGGACACTTTGTACTTTTTACTTAAGTATGTTTTGCCTCCAGTACTTTTTTACTGTTAGTCAAGTAGTTTTATTGTTAATTACTTCAGTTTTACTTTTACTCGAGTACAAATCCCC